CACATTACTCTAAGTTAGCCCAGGGGCATGGAAGAGTACATAGTTTAAAATTAAAGTTGGACATTTAACTTAAGTTGTAAACGCAGATCATAAGGGAAGTTCAAGGCATAGCTAGGTTGGTTACATTGTTTTTTTCAAGGTAGGTTAAATTTAAGCAGGTAGGATGATCTCAAGGCAGATTACCAACTTGGTTTCAGGGTCTGGCAAAAGTTCAGTCTGTCTGAAGGCAAGACTATTTTCAGAAAAGGTCATGACCCCTCTCTAGTCTAGTACTTGCTTCGTTTTCTTTTCTGTTCTTATTATAAAATATTGACCAAACTAAATTAGAAATGAAAGAGTTTATTTCAATTTAGAGATTCCAGTCTGTCATCAAAGAAAATAATGGCAGAACACATGGAAGGAACCCAGAGGCAAGAATGGAAGCTACTGACTTGCTTCCTCTGACTTGTTCAGTTAATGTTTTTATATATGCCACCTGCCTAGGGAATGGTACTGCTTACACCATTAGGAATTAAAAAATATATATCCATACAGGTATTTCCTCAGGCCAATAAATGGATGTGTTTTTTTCAGTTGAGGTTTCATTTTCAGAGGTATGTCAAATTTACAACTGAAGCTAATTATGATACCTAGCATATGTGAAGCCTTGTGTCTGTCTCTAGGACCAAAAAAAAAAAACCCCAAAAAGCCTACCTTGAGCACCATACCACCAGCCATTAGCTTCCTCTTATAGCATCTGGGTTATTCACAAGTCATTGCATATTATAATAGCCTAAAGCCAGAAGTGGGTGGGTATGTTTTTCCTCATCTGGGTAGAGGAATTTCTTGGTAGTATGGGTTGATCACTTTCTATCTCAGTGACTTAAGGCAAAACAACCTTTCTAAACTCAGCTTCTTTCATTCTTTTTTTTTTTTTGCATTTTTATTTGTTTTATGTATATGAGTACACTGTAGCTTTCTTCAAACACACCAGAAGAGGGTGTTGGATTTCACTACAGATGGTTGTGAGTCACCATGTGGTTGCTGGGAATTGAACTCAGGACCTCTGGAAGAGCAGTCAGTGCCCTTAATCACTGAGCCATCCCTCCAGCTCTAAACTCAGTTTCTATTTGTGTGAAATGACGATGCAGAGGCCTTGTATTGAGATCTCTTGGAGGGGATGCAGCATCGCAATGGGTAGGACGCTCAATGGCTGGGCTCTGCTCACCACAGTCATCCCTGGCACCTGCAAGGGTGCTCATTTGTTTTTATTTATAAAGCTCATGTGTTCTATGTCCTGGCCTTTTAAACTACAGGTTACAACTCCACATGGAGGTATCACAAAAAATATTGGTAACATTAAAAGGCTCCTGGATGTGTAATTTCAAAAGTGGATTCAAAATCAAACATGTCGAGATGTGATGTGTTTCTGGCAGTACTTGCCTGTGTTATGCACATCACTGCCTTCTACATTCACAGTGGTCTTATCATCGACACTAATAATATCAGAATATCAACCAATTCTGAAAAACGTGGATTCAGCAATATCAAGTATTCACTCAAGATATCTTTTTGTAAAAGTAAACATATCTGTCTCACTAGTACACCAATTTGTTTTTGTTCGCAGAAAATGAAAAAATGGTGTGTGTGTGTGTATGTATATGGTATATACACACACACATATATATATATACACATATATATGCATATATATGTGTATATATATGTGTGTATGATATATAATTTTTTAAAAATAAATTTCTTTATAATTTATTATCAAAAAATGCTTGATTTGTATGCTTATTTTGTATACCTATCTAGTGAAGGTTGAATGACAATTTCTGAAGTGAAAGAAGGTCATGAGAGGAAAAAGTTTAGGATTCCTTGCTAAGTGCTAGGTCTAGGTATACAGGATACCCACCAGCTTTAGAGCAGGAGGAAGCTCTGACTGGCTGGGTTTGGAGCAGGGCCGGGCTGGGCTGAGGCTCTTGAGCAGACTGAAGGCGCATGCTCCTGAGTCCGCTTCCCCAGGGCTAGGCAGATGGCCGGGAGGGGTGGAGTCACTGGGGCACTTCTCGGCGATGGACTGTTCTGATTGGCTGTGCGAAAAGCCTGGGCAGGGTGGTGGATCGGCCCTCCCACCAGGTCGATGTAGCCTCTGGTCAGCCACACTCGCCTAGTTGTAGTGGACACTGCTCTTGGAGAAAGAGGTTAGAGGACCACTCCGGGTGAGTGACTGCCTCGGGCCTGGCTCGGTGCAGTGGGCTCGGGAGCTGGTGCCCTGCGGATCGCCAGGGCTGGGAGAGGAGGCCCCACCGCGGTCTCTGGCCTCCAGTTGCTCTGCTCCCGGGGCACGTTCTGTGTTGGGTACCTGAGGTGCTTTGGGGGCGGCGATTCTGTGGGCATCAACAAAAAGTGGACTGCCCTTCCCTGGGTATCCTCCCGCTTCCTGGACAGGCGCGATCGACGGTCAGGTACCCTGCCCAGAGTTCTTGGACTAGGGGACAGGCAGAATGCCTGATTCTCAATCCTCTTCATCTTTTCCTCCCGCTAGCTCCCCTAGGTAGTGTTAGCCAACTGCATGGTCAGCAGCAAACTTGGGCGTGGGTCCTGGTTAAACACCGCCCCCCCCCCCCCGTGATACTGCTGTATAATCAGCTAGTCCCTTGCTTCTAGTATTTGATTGGTGTGTTCACATTATCTTGAAAAATGAGCTTAGTAGGACTGTTGAGTTGGTGGAGAAGCTGCAGATTGTAGGAGACACTGCTGCAGCTGGGCATTGCCAATAGCTCAGCAGTTATTGAAAAACTACCCTGGACCTTTATTTTCGTCTGTCTCTGAACTGTGGAGTTGCTCCAGCTCAGTTCTCAAAGGCAACATTTGTACTATTGTTGCAGGACTTTTCAGAGTCCTGGAAGTTCAAACTTGAATCAGACTTCAGCTCTGCCCCCACCCCCACTTCCTTTCTCCTGTGAAATGAAGGCAGACAGATAATGAATTCGACTGTTCCAAAGACATAAGTATTGTGATAAAGGTGTTTCTAAGCACCTAGACTAGCACACTAAACCCAGCTCAGAGCTTTCTTTATCAGACAACTTCTCTAAGAATTGCTTGTTAGGTTTATTGAGCAACAGCGCTGGATTGGAAGGGAGACTAGTGGGTGACCAGCCATGCGAGTAACTTCTCCAATCACTCCTCGGGGTGAATGCTTTTCGGAGACTGTATCAGGTTCTGTAAAAACGGCTTCCACCAAAAATAAATAAATATTTTAAGTTGCTCTGAGACCCTTTATTTATCGATCTACTTTGTTTGTTTGTTTGTTTGTTTTAAACACTCTCCCGCTTTTCACTTTCCTTTTTTGGTTGTTGCCCTCTAGTATTGAAGGACCTCTGGGACAGTGACCTGAAGTTAAAAGGCAGCCTTAGACTGTGCTACATAAAACTATGCTGATAACTAAAAGCATTCGTGACCAGGACAAACTCCAGAGAGTATCCTCTCCTGTCTGAAATGCTGGAAAAAAATAACTTCAGAAGAAATTGCAGTTTTCTGAGAGCCAATTTCCTAAGAAATGTGGAATGCTTAGCTTAAGAGAGTCTTCGTTTGTTTATTATTTTCAAACAGCAGTATTGAGATATCAACGTTGACTAGCAAGACCCATTGTAGGAATGTCTAAGTTTTGACATGTACAAATAGCAGGAAGTTAGTATAGTCAGCAGTAGGATCGTACATATCACCTTGAAGAGTCTCCGTGCATGCTCGTTGGGATTGTCCTCTCCTGCCTTTTTTTTCTCCCCAGACATGAATCTGTTTTCTGCCAGTATAAACTAGGTTACATTTTCTCCAAGTTTTATATACAGTGGAGCAATTCCTTCCCTCTCCTCTCTTTACCCTCCGACTTCTTTCATGTTCACAGTTATTTTGAGATTTGTCCATATTGTGAGTACATTGGTGAAGTGTGTATACATACGGGTTTTCTAACTCGTCACTTGTTTGGCTTGACTCCCCCCTCCACCCACTTTTGATCATTATATACAAAGCTGCTATAATTTAAGTACAAATCTTTAGGAATATGTGCACCTGTCTTTTAAAACGATTGTATGCATTTTTAAAAGGCCTAGATTACAGCCCTAACACTCATTCTAACCTTAGTCTGAGCACTGTTAGAGACTTGTTCCACCTCACTCTTAGCATCTCCAGTACTTTGCTACACTGTAATTTCCAGCCATCAGGGGGGTAATCTTTGCTGACAGAGAGTTACTCTTTTCTTTCCCTTCATTTTCATTAACTTGAGTGACAGTTTTGAATCCTGACATACAATTTCCAGAAAGAACAAATTTCCGTTATAGCTACAAGTAAGAGCAAATGTAGGCTGAACTTAAAAATATATTTAAATCTGAGGCAGAGCAGAAAAGGTGGGGGGATTCTAGGGCCCTTCCTTTTTCTTCTCCTAAGTTCCTCTGCATGCTACTTCTTTAGAAATAGTTTGCTTCACTTTGTGAGGAGGTGGTACATGAGTGGACAAGGCCATGTGTGTTACCTGGGGGGGGGGAGGGTCTAGAGGCCTCTTAGTTAAAACAAATTGATGTTTTCCACTGCCAGAGACTGCTGGAGTTATTCGGTTCATATCTGTCTTCCCTGTGGGATTTTATTTATCTTAAATTTTGTTCAAGACTTTTAAAGAAGCCCCTGATCTGTTGAGACATGCTTGTGTGGTAAAATTCAGCTGGCTACATTAAACAGAAGGAAGATGGAACTCCAGGGCCTGGTGGTCTGTTTCGTCGTTGGGATCCTGCTTTCCCAAGGGCCCACGGGGACAGTATCAGCTGTGGACCCTGAAGCAAACATGAATGTGGTGAGTTTCTAAAGGTCACATGCTTTTAAAATGCAGTGACGACACATGCCGTTTTCTTAAACAGCGTTATGATGTCATAAGCCTAAGCTCTTTACGGCCCCTCATGCTTTTCGTTTATCCTGAATTGTAGATGGCGTTTGCTACACTATTCCCATTCGATACTGCTTACAAAACCGGATATCGGGCTGTTGAACGGGATACACAGACTATTCTAAATATTGTTTTCTCTTTAGTAATTTTATTTTTAAACCATTTAAAACACACTTTAAAACAGATCAAAATGTGTAAGCCATTTACGAGACTGCCTTTGTGAGTGCTGAGACTGAGCTGTGATTAAGAATGTCCAGGGAACACAACTCAGTACAGTTGTGAAAATATTAGAAGGAATCATTAGAAAACTACACAAAAAACAAACCAAAAACAAAAAACGAATCCAAAAACTCCACCTGAATTAATTAAAGCATTTCAAAATTATGAATCGTAAGTAAACAGTGAAATCTGAATAAAACCACATGTAAGAATACAACAGAAAGAAAATATAGATTATTAATGACACGGCAGCTTTAAAAAGATGGATTGACCTAGCTGAAGAAACGGGTGACTGCAGAGACAAGTTCCTAGATAGGACAATATGGCTTGACACAAGCCCCCCCCTCAGCCCCGTTAACAGTTCCTTCCTAAGGGCATAATGAAATCCAAGTCTTTCAGGTATTTATGGCAAAGAGGATATCGAACACTTTGATCTTCCATGTAATTGACTATGCCTGCCCACTGGGGACTCCGCCACACCTGCACCATGCGCTTTCCTTGTTGGGAGGTACATTTAATGGCAGTTTCCCAGTTTTCAGCTTTTCTTCCATCAGGTTCATGTCCTCCAGATGACATTTGTTTAGCCTTATTGCCTAGGTTAGGAACTTTAGAACATGAAAAATGTTAGCTGGAGAGTATTTAGAAAAGAAGTCTTTCTTTGTGCCTTGTTGGCATGATGGGAAGCAATAAGGGCTCAGAGTTGACACACTGGGTGTAGAACGTGGAGAATGACGAAATGCCCACGAGTCCATGAGTATAAATGACTGGGTCTTGACATGGGATCTTGGTTACTAGATCGAGCAGAGTCAAATCCCTTAAAAAGCAAAACAAACAAACAAAACAAAAAGAAAGAAAGAAGGAAGGAAGGAAAGGAAGAAAGAGATTCACTGCATTTGTTTTCTCCTTGGCCTGATATTTTTGGAGACGGAAGAATCACAGTCCATAGAATACCTATTGTCCTTTTTCTCCCTAGACTGAGATAATCATGCACTGGGGATATGTTGGTGAGGAACACTCAGTCCAGACAAGAGATGGCTATATTCTGAGTATTCACCGAATCCCTCATGGGCGGAAGAACCATTTGGACAAAGGTATGGGTGTTTTCTGTGGCAAGGCGTAACAGCTTTTGGAAGTCACTGCTTTGTCTGAGTTGGTGACCGAATTCAGACTTCACTTGACAGAGTAACCACAGGATGGCTGGAGGCCAGAGTACCAGCTAAGCAAGGCTGGCTTGACTAATTTCATCGTTTCTACTGGGATCTAAGGTCAAATTCAATTTACAGTTTAGAAATATCTCCTTTGTTTCTTAAGGAAGTATTTTATCTAATGGATTGTTGTGAGCATTAAACAGTTGGCTTTTGCAATTTAAAAATTATCAAAAAAAAAAGACCAGAAAGATAAACAGTAAATACTTCCTTTTCTATCTTATTTTCCAGTTTTTAGCATGTGTTCTTGTATAATATCTTCATTTAAAATCTTCGTACCATCCAGAAGCTCATTAAAAACAAATATGGATTATTTTTCTGTTGCCAACTTTTAAATTCAAAAGATGCCATAAAGGACATAGTGTTTTATTCTTTGAATTATTTATTTGCTATCAGCAAACTTGTAAAAAGTCATTTATTTACTATCACAGAGATCTTTCCAGTAATTCTTAGAGCATTTATTTGAAGATATATAGCATTCCATTGCATATTTGTGTCATGGTTTGTTTAACAAGTGTCTATTAATGAACTTTTGTACTAATCTGAATTTTCGGCTAACAAATATTTTGGCTCAAATATATCATGTCAACAACAGCAAAAAAAAATCTACTTATTGTGCAAATTAATAAATAGTATATAGAAATGCTTATTAGTAATAATAATATATAGCAATTTAGAAAATGTTTTCTATATGTGCATGTATTGATAGTGACTTTTACTAGGAGTATAGAAAAATTCTTACAAATTTGATCTAAAAATTTGTTCCTGGGTATATAGTTATATTTTTTTGAACAACTTATAACTCAAGCAAAACTGTGGTCCTGATGTGGGTGATGGGATTTCTAGGCAAACTAAACAGGTATATATCCTGTTAAGAGAATGGGTTTGCCTTTAGCCATCTCTCAAGGTGTAGCCTATTGTTTTTCTGAAAAATGAGGTCTGGGTTAAGGTAATTGGCTAGCTCTGTCTTCTGCTAGGGTTGTAACTAGGCAGAAGAGTATTCTTTACCTCACATGTTTCTCAAGTGGTTATTCAGAGTGAACTATGAATCTGGGCAAATGTGAGCTTTGTATAACATCTGCTTTATGATTCTCTTTACGTTGTGTGAGATGCCTATTTTTTCTGCCTCCATCACAAGACACTAAGTAAATAATCCTTAGGTGGCTACGGCAGTGTTCTTTTCCAATTTCATTTGGGATTTTGTTTTAGTGTTTATAGCTGTATACTACTCTATACTCTCATTTCCCCAGTGAATCTTTTACAAAATGAGTGAAAGATGACTTACATTGATCTGTTTTTCTTGCCCTCAAACACATAAAGTATATATTTTATGCAAGAGCGAGCATATGATCTTAGTTTCCTTCCTTCCCTTTTTTTTCCTAATCAAACCTATAACAACATCAGGTTTTAGATTCTATCTAAAGACAAATGAGTATAGATATTATTTCCTATAAAGTTCTTAGGTAAGTAGTAATTACTACTACAAGCCATTTTTTAAAAGTTCCAGGTAAAACCATGCTGAGAGAATGTGCTACATCCACCCCTCACCCCCAGGCTTCTGTCTCCATGGTGCAGCTAAAGCATACAGGGTTCCTTCTTGTCTTGTGCATACACATCACTCTGTGGCTGGTGGAGGTGTTTTCTTGTGAAGGGAGGAAGAGGTGCCCCCTCAAAGAGACAGCAATTCTTGGAGACAGAAGATGGGCCCCTTATAGGCTGGGGAGGTGCCTTCAGAGTGCAGAACACAGCCTGAGAGTGCTCTGAGTCAAATCTGTGTTTAGCTTTTTCCTAACCTTCCTTCACCATTCTGAGGAGCACCCACCCACCCTTGGGGAGGTTGGTAATCTTGTGTGTTTACAAAGCAGTCTCAGAGGGGGCTTTTCAAAGAATTCTGTGACTCAGTTCTCTAAAGGAGTTGTGATTTTTCTAAGATTTGTACAAATGCTTTCCCTATGGTTCCCTCTCCATGGGCCAAGCCCAAGTGCTGGCCAGAAACTCTTTATTGTGTCTATTAAGGAGCACTGTGGTCATGTGGTCAGTGCTGTGAATCTGCCTTGCTGAAAACCAAAAAAAAAAAAAAAAAAAAAAAGACAGCCAAAAACCCCCAATCTTGTGAATGCCACTTCCCTGCGGGCTGCCTATTAATAGCAGATCACCCTTTCAGTGACCTAGACTAGAAGTTGCTAAGTCATTTTCCTTTTGTTTGGCAGTGCTGGGGGTTGAACTCAGGTCCTCATGCATGCTTAGGCAAGCACTGCTGCCGAGCGACATCCACAGACATCCACAGTCCTTACAGAATCGTTCTTGATTCCCAGTCTCTACGCCAGCCATCCACATACTATCTATATCCCTCATTAACACTGTTCTCCCTGCTCTGACCACCACACTCCTTCCCCTTATGCTTTTTGTTTGTTTGTTTGTTTGTTTTGGTTTTTCAACACAGGGTTTCTTTGTGTATGTAGCCCCTGGCTGTCTTGGAACTGATGCTATTCATTTTAGGCATCGGAGACAGCGCAGAAGCTGAGGGAATCTTGAATGAATCACTTTGCAGGGTGGAGGGCTCCCCATATACTAGAGGAAACAAATCTCAAAGCAGGTCTGTGGAAATTTAGTATTACTTTGTGACATGAATGCTTTTAACGTATAGAAAGTAATGCCCTATAGCTGCATTCTTTATAAGTAATTGTAAGATACACTAAAGTGTCATTTATTTATCGGGGGGATATTCTCAGGGGTCAATGGATTACAGAGAAATGGTGAGTGGGCTCTTCAGACCGCATGACTAGCTTCATGTGGGTGTCAAAGGTTCTGTGTGAACACAGGGTGGAGCCAGGCGTCTGCTCTGTCTGAGTCCTCCTGTAAGTTCTGCCTCCTGCTGCCTCCTTTTCCAACCTCTCTGTCTCGTTATGCAGAGAAAGTAGCTTAAATCTCAGCTCTTAAGTGACTTTGTGAGGCAACAATCTTTATGACTGTAGTGATGTAGACACATACATCCCTTAACAGTTTTCCCTGGCTGCGTGTGTATGTTTCACCCCATCTAGAGGAGCAGATATTTGTACTCATGGCTATTAGAGACTATGCTTGCAATTTTCCACTTAAAATACAGTGTGTGTGTGTGTGTGTGTGTGTGTGTGTGTGTGTGTGTGTATCTTTTATATGCCACGGGAGACATTAGATTTTCTCTCTCATTCTCCATTCTATTCTTTTGAGACAAGGTCTCTCACTGATCTTGGGGCTTGTCTGGTAGCCAGCAAGTCCCAACACTCTTTCTGTCTCCATCTCACACCATGTTACGTTTTTGTTTTTTTTTTCTTTTTTTTTTCTTTTTTTTTTTGTTTATTTGTTTTAACATGTGGTTGGTGGGGGATTTGAACTCAAATCTTCATACTTTCAGAGAAACTAGTCTTTTCCCACTCAGCCATCTTCTCACTTTTAAGCAATCATTCTCATCCCATGCCAAACTACCACTATATTTGATAAGTGCTTAAGGGAACTGAAACACAGAATTTAATCATTTATAGAGAAGTGGTTTTATTTTTATCTGCTCAGCCTTAAGGATGAGTGTTAATATTTCAAGGTTCTCATTTCCTGCTTGGACCAAGGATTTGAAAAGCTTGTACCTTTATAACATTTCTGGCAGATTTCTAGGTATCTAGCTCTTCATATTCGAGATCAATACAGTCATTTCCTGCTTGAGACAGCCAAGGCAAAGGGCAGTTACTTGGGCATTTTGACTGCAGAGGTAGTATTCCTTGAATTCAGAACATGTCCTTATATAATAAGTATTGAGCAAGCTGATCCCATGATAACTATAATATAGAGTTTATTTAGATAAAACAAGGAAATTCTGCTTGTGCCAGCATTAGAAGAAAAATACAAGGGAGACTGGCTTACTAATTGTCTAACTGGGAATTCAGCCAGTTACTGTTGCCTAACTGGGAAATCAGATACCTTGTTTGTTTGTATCTGAACAATTCTGCATCTGATGACCTGACAGGTGAGATTGCATTCTGGGTTTCAAAGACTGGAAACAACTGCATGCAACATGAGGAAGCAGACTTCTCCAGCGTGGCCTAGGCGCAGGCTTCCCAAGGGTTGCCAGCTGAGCCATTTGAGTCATTGGTGAACGTTCTCAACGTGGCTTCTGTGTTGTCTTCTAAAAAAAAAAAAAAAACCCAAAAAAACCTCCAGGCTGTTGTTTTGACTTTGTTAGGTCTTTCTTTCTGTAGAGAAACCCTCTTTTTAAAAGAAACCATTTGTGAGTTTCTGGCTTTATTCATTTGATAAGTGCAGCTTTAGTATGAGTACATAGTCTGACATGTAATTCCCTTACTAGAGGCAGTGGGCAGAGCCCATCCCCAGGCTTTCTGGGCTTCTGATGGTGCGCTGTGTAGAAGATTGCATTTCAATCTTTTAAACTAAACAACAGAAGTTGAGCTAGCTGTACAGTCTGTTTGTCCAAATCTGGTTGAGGTTGGTGCAAAGGAGAAGTAACATCGTGGCATACACTGTTCTGCTTGTCCCTTCCCTTTCCTCCCACCCCTTCCTTCTTGGCTAGCTGCTGCTAAGTGTATTGCCTCTGGGAAAATATCTAATGTCTCCCCTGATACACAAGGATGTATACACACACACACACACACACACACACACACACACACAATGTATTTTAAATGGAAAGTTGCAAGCATAGTCTCTAATAGATACAAGTACAAATGTCTGCTGCTCAGGATTGGTTTGAAAAAGTGCAGCCAGGACAGACTATGAAGGAATGTATGTGTCTCCATTAATTAGATCCATAAAGACTGCTGCACTTAGAACACATCAGGCGCCTGGAGGTATATATTCTGAACTCTCTGTGTGTTTGGCTCACAGTGGTTAAGTCAACA